GGAAAAATAAAATAAGACAAGAACAGAGAGGGAGGCAAACCATAAGAGACTCTTAATTATAGGAAACAAACTGAGGGTTGCTGGAGGGGAGGTGATTGGGGGGTGGGGTAACTGAGTGATGGGCATTAAGGAAGGTACTTGATGTAATGAATGCTGGGTGTTATATGCAACTGATGAATCACTAAATTCTATCCCTGAAACAAATAATATAGTATGTGTTAACTAAATTAAATTTTAATTTTAAAAATAAATAAAAAATAAACATAAATAAAAAGAATTCCCACACCTGAAACTAATGCAACATTGTATGTCAAATATACTTCAATTAAAAAAGGACAATAACTTTTTAAAATTTAAAAATAAAAAAGAATTAAGAATTTTGATGCAAAAAAAATCTGTGAAAAGCAGTAATTTTGAGTAAAAATGACTGAGAGTCAAATTCTGACTCTGCAGTGGAAACTTGAGCAAGATAAATAAACTCCTAAACTTCAGTTTCCTCATCTGTGAAGTGAGAACAACACACATAATTAACATAATGTTAACAATACAACATTGTTATGAAGATTAGGTGAGCTGACACATTGGAAGCTCTTGGCTCAGTTTCTAGCATTTGGGAGGAACCCCAAGAGTCTGAGCTCTTATTCTTATTATTATACTTTTATGTACATTGTAAAATTCTGAAACAGAGATCCATGCCCATACATCTCTGACCATAATTCCGATTAATTCTTTATGATAGGTTCCTAGAAGGATAATTACTTAGGTCCAAGCGTCTGAACATATTGGATGATAATCCTGTTTTGTCAGAGTTATCCAGAAAAGGCAATTCAACAGTTTGCTTCACTTGACTACCAGAAAATCCTCGAGCTCTGGAAGTTAAATTCTTAAATTTATTTGGCAGATGACAAACCTAACTAAATTTATGTATATTTATGTTAAAATCTAGTGCTCTTTAAGATCTCTTTGTGATAGGTCATCAGCAAGAAAGAAAAAATAAGAGGGAAAGTTTCTCTATTTCTGGTAAACCCAACAGTCCCAGAGGCGAAAGTGGTTTAGGAGACTGCCCCTGGCTTCCAGCAATCCTTTGAGTGCATTCATTCCTTGGCGTTCCTTTCTAACACCTGCCAGTTTAAATCCCTCACTTTGCATTGCCATTGGACTTTCAGATTCCCTCCTTATCTTTGACCTTTTTATTTAAGGATGTGACTTTTAACTAACCTTTGGCCTGTGGGTCAGCAGTTAAGCTGTCCATTCTCCCAGACTTCTTTCATCTTTTGCCTTTTTAAGGACAAAGCCAATTGTGCATAACTTACACATATTTTGGCCATCTCAAGCCATTCTTAGGTGGTGAAACCTCCTAAGACAGGTGCTGCCAGGGGCACACTGAATAGAAACGAGAAACAAACTGTTAAGAAGAGCAACAGACTTTGGGTTTCTCAGGAAAACTCAGCCTGTTCCAGTTTCATTTCAATGTCCTCTTTTAGGGGAGGCTAGAGGATTATTCTTAACAGAGGCAGTCTCGATACAGTTTTCTCATTTTGAAAGTGAGGTCTCTTGCTTGTGAGGAGTAAATGTTAAAAACCATCCCTCTCCTCAAGGAGATCTTAGCTTACTGGAGAAGGGGGACAGAATATACACACATGTCTGCAACCTAGAGTAGAGGAAGTAAGGGTCGCGAAGCACAAAAGGGAATTCTGAGAAAGGAGAGTTTCAATTGAATGGTGGAAATCTAGGAGGACTTCATGTAAGAGATGGTGTTTAAACGAGGAGTCAAGCTTTGTGAAGGAGTGGTGTTTAAGATCAGTCATGAAGGATGTTAGTGAGTGGAATTTGGTGCAGGTGGAGGGGTGAGTAGAACGAGAATGGGAACATGCATGCATGCAAGTGGAATCACAAGAGAAAAGTCAGAGCTACTAAGAAGTAGAACATGTCTGGGGACTATCAAGGGAGGTAGTTTCATTAGCATGTACAATATATTTAGGGGATTGTGGAAGGTACAAGGAAGGACCAGGCTGCAGAGTGCCTGGAGTAAGGCATTTGTCTCAGTCTGGTGGACAAGATGCTGAAGGTTTGATAGCTAGGGAGTGATCTGACCCCAGCTGTGGTTTGAGAAGGACAGTGAGGGAGCTGTGTGTAAGGTGAAATGAAGAGAGAGCCAGAGGTAGAGAGAGAGAGAAATAGAGAGGAAAGAAAGACTAACCAGGGCATGTTAGATTTTTTCTAGACTAAAGACAATAGTGGGGGAGGGGGTCAAAGCCAGAGCAGTGGCTGTGAGGATGGAGAGAACAGGAGGAAAAGCTTAGTAAATTTATGAAATTCTTTTTTTAAAGAATAATTTCTTTTCTTAAATAATTTATTTGCAATAAATTAATAGTTAAATAGCAAATTCAGTGGTTAAAAACTCACAAAACACATCAACAAAAAAATCTTTGGTTAATACATCTAATCACATTCTATAAAGCACAATAAATCAATTTCAATAAAAAGGCATATGAAGACTACTGTATGCTGTTGAAAAGAGATGAGCATAACAATAAGGTGCTTATCTGTTTTCAATCTTAAAAAACTTAGAGGCTGAACAGATCTGTAGAAAGGTTGGACACAGGGTTAGGAAATCAGGCACCGTGTCCTGGGTTTCCATTAATTGTCCATGGGACCTCTGGAAAGTCACTTCACAACACTGTGGACCTATTTTCTCCTCTGTAAAACAAGGAGTAAAACAAGCCAATCTCATGATCTATATAAATCAGTGGCCCTGTTTATGCCTGGTTTCCAGAAATTTCTAGTGGTGTCCAGAGCAGACCAAACATTTTTTTCAAGTAACAGAGTAGTGTAGATATAATCCATCTAAACTTTTCTGTTGGGTTCAAATAATCCATAAAGAGATGTACCATCAGTGAACTATAATGTGTTTTAATGGAAAATTCTTACTACTGCAATCACCAAGCCTTGAGTATAAGACACCATGAAAGACCACAGAGTAATTTTTGAATTAGTTTCCAGTCCCATGGATACCTTGCCAAAGGTTTTGATCCATGTGTACCTACAATTCCTTTTGACAGTCACTTTAACCCCACACAACTTGATATACCAAAATCTAAGCTTGTAAATAATTTAAGAGGTAAATTACATCAAGTAATATTTTAAGTGTTTATTCGTTTATCAATGGAATTTCCTGCAGGGTTTCTTTAAATCATTATCCCCCTCATATAGTTTAATGATAACTCAATCTCACGACTTTTCAGGAGCACTCTCTTACACTTTAGTGGAAAGGCCCTCTGTACTGACAGACACGGCCCCAACAGCAGAAAAGGGCACTCATTCTGAGAAGAGCAGTAAAATCCTGCATTCAGGCAAAGAGGTCCTCTGTGCCCTCGTCAGCAACATGTTAATAGGAAGCTAACATAAAAACGCTGTCAAAAGTGTTATTTTGATTTAATGCTAGATGAAGAGAGTAAGTAATGTTGTTCAATTGACAACTGTCATCAAAGCTTTGAGATATACTATCAGTTGGTAGTTTGGGGACAAATTTAAGTCCACATAACCTCATGAGCAAGAAATGCACATTTGGAGGAAGTCCCTTAGTCTCTGTGCATATGTGTTTCCCTGGACTATTCTGGGTCCATAGGGAAGTGTATAGAATGCAGTTTAAAGGAAGACCTAGAAGGAAAACATAGTGCTTCGGATAAATGCACTGGGCTATGAGTGTGAATGCTGTGTAAATGTTAATGACATTATGACCTTGTTATTTCGGGGGAAGGAGATTTTGGGGGAGCCTCATCTAGCTTTTTTTCTGATCACCAAACCAAAGAGGCTCAGTTCAACCTTCCATAAATCAATATCTTCTTTCTAGAGTAGCAGGAAATTTAAATTCTTCTATTGTGTATACACTGGAAACCCATAATTGCAAATCCATCAGTTTCATACCTGTGGTTCAGAAGGTTTTAAAACCAATGTACTGTCAAGAACTTTAGGGAAATAAAATGTCCCAGAGACAATCAACTGACATTATTTGTATTCTGGGCTCAGCTATGGGATTCATCCTTGAATCCATCTTTGAATCCAATCATTGGGGGGGGGGGGCACGTGGTTGTGAGTAGTTCTGCCAGATCCGCACTGTTTCATTGACTAGTGGGTACCACTCCTACCAGCATAAGATTGAGCTAATGCTCCATAGCTAGGAAGACAAATTACAAATTCATTAATTTATTAAAGTCTGTTATTACATTCCTATTGTCTACTCTAGATCTTTTGTTTAAACTAAGCTCTCTGTTAAATGAGTTGTTAAATGGTAATGTTTGGATTTTCATAATTATATTTGAAGTTTACAGGTCTTAAACCAGGAGGAACTCAGGCTGAATTAAACGTTTTAATGCCTGACATGCGCAACTAAGGGGTTAGATAACCTATTTTAGCTATTTAGAAAACTATGAACTCTAATTCATAAATTATCAAGTCCTTTCCTCTCACAGAAATAATCCACCATTTGGCTTTAGAGATAACATAGATATAAATGGCTCAAGGCAGGTAACACTTCATATTTCCACAGGGATAAAGGATGCAGAGCTCTTCCACATGTTATCTGCTGTGTTTCTGTAATCCTCACGTGTCAGGAGGTCCCTCAAGTTTTCACAAGTCTCCAGGTTGGTTTCTGTGAGGGCTCTCTTCACATTTATCAACGTTATTTTGTTCACCCTCGATCACATATACCTCATTCTTCAAAACAATCTGTAAAATATGTTCTGAGGCAAGTATTTTCTACTCATCTGTCTGAGATCAGTCATGGGGAAACTCCTTCCTTGTAACTGAAAACATACTGAGTAAAACAGCGATTTCCAAACCTGTTTTTAACCTATGCTTCCCCCCGCCCCCCCGCCACCCCAC